CGGTCTGATATATTGGCAAAGGCAATTATAATGTTTTTTTCTATTTCGCGATTTTTTTTTTATTTTTATTTTTTTGTATAGACCACCTTGCTAATGACTGGGGTGTCGATGTTTAAGCTGGTGGAAACATGATGTTGAAAAACATATTGGGTATCATTACTGGCTGTCCGCTTTCAGTAAAAACGTAGCACCAATTTTTCCAGGGCAGTAAGAAACGTAGAGAACATTAGGGGGGATTAAATAACAATCTAAATTATTATTTTAAAATGCGCGAAAATGTTAAGAAGTCCAACCCGTCGATTATTGACTTCCTTGCGCGTGTAGGTATCAGAACACCTTCATATGTCATTTCAGAAACTTGGTCAAATAATTAGGTCCTTTTTACAATTTGTCAAAACTTCTTCGCCTTTTCCTCTCAGGTACGAGTATGTACACACAAAAATTATTTACAATTTTCCGCTCTTTACCGAGTTTTTCTTCAATCAGTATGTATTTGCTTTATGTAACCGCGTACCCACCGCTTTTTACTGCACTTTAGTCCAACGCTAGCCGCCGTGAGCCACTTGCCACATGCCACATGCCGCATGCCGCATGGCATTTGCTTGGCACACGCGTCTTAATTGCCTTTAATGCCTGAACTTTGAGGTTAAATGCGGCAACGCGCAGCTCGAACACAAACTCAAAACGCGACTGGCATGCGCGGCACATATTCAACTAACCCCTTGCATTACAAATGTGTGTGTACACTTATGGATGGTAAGTACATATTTATATGTAAGTACGTATGTAGTTGCTGACTGGCGCCTTTGGTCATTTTTATTGCTTCCTATTATTTTTTTCGACATACAATTTCCATAGACGCTTTACAATTCTCAGGTGGCTGTTTGCGCGGTTAAAGGCTAAAAATGGTGTAGTACATGCGAATAGGGGCTAGAAAAAACATTACAACAACAACAGCGGCTAAAAACAACAATACACGTATTGTAGGAAAAAAAACAAACCCCTTTACAGTGAAGGAAAACTCAGACGTCAAAAAACCAAAGCAATGTATGTATATGTTACCGGCCAAAACGGATTTAAGGACAAACTAAAACTAGTTATTCCTAAAATAAACTAGTTCTACCTAGATAAAAAGGCTTTGAATCTGCTTTACAAGATACCAAACAACTTGCTGAAGGTCTTGGAGCTGACTCGTCATTTGAGAGCTCAACTCGCAAAAGTAGAAAGAATATTCTTCGCTTACGAAAGTCAACTCAAAAAACAATTACAGCATATTAAACCTGCACAGCCATCAAACTGCCATTTGAGGTTCTTCAATTTCTCGTAAAGAAAAACGTCATCGTTTTCTTTCCTAATGTTTGGATTTCACTGAGGATTTTGTTGACTTTGCCTGTGATGGTTGCCAGCGGGAGCGAAGTTTTTCAAAAGTGAAGCTCATCAAGTCGTACTGAAGATCTACTGTGTCCCAAGAAAGATTAAACCCTTTATGTACCTATTATCTATCGAAAACGATATTGCCACTCAGATTGATTTGTCCAAAACCATCGAAAAATTTGCTCAAGCCAAAGTACGCAGAGTAAAATTTGGTAATTGATATTTGAAAATTTTGATTATATTGAAAATGAATAATTCTTAAATTTCGACTATTTTTGCAATACATTGATTCTATTTACGCCCGGGTGTCGTTATTTCTAAAACCGGCCCTGCATAAATGTAATATAAAAATTATAGTATATCAATACAAGAATGTAAGGTACATAATTACAAACTCCCTCTACTGTATGTTTAAGGAAATAGTCACTGCTGCCACTTAAAAAATATTACAATTAAAAATTCTATCAAATTTAAACAAAACTGAAGAAGGTATTTGCAGTTGCAGAGCTTATCTTCGATCGCAGTTTCCACGCATTTCATTGATTTATAGGAATACTAGCTTAGCTCCAACTAACTCGAATAAAACTCAACAGCCAAAAGCATAGGAAATTTTCAATTGTTCTTTTCTTAAACCCTTTTCGTCTAAAACCCATGTGGTGGTACATATTGTAATTACCTGATTCCCTTAGTTCAAGTATAGTTTAATTTTTCAAACAGCTGGCAACCCGCCTGCATGGAGTTCAGAAATTAATCTTTCAAAACCATTGCCATTGATACCTTTATTTTAATAATTCCTTAAACTTATAACATAATTTGAATTCAATTCGACTTTTCAAACAGATGGCAACCCTGCTCAAAATATTTTCTTAGTAAACCCTTCTTAAACCTATTTCGTATGACGCCCATATTGTGATATCTATTTCGTTTACCCAATTTCCTTAATTCAAGTAAAATTTAATTCTTTAAACAGGTGGCAAATAAACCTCTTTCAAAACCATTTAGATGGATACCCATACTGACATAGTTCATATAACTTATTAAATAAATTTAATTTAATTTCTTAACAGGTGGCAACCCTTAATCAACTTTATTTTATATACAATATATAGTTACACATATAGATGCATACCAAAGGTGACGACAACATAACACCTTTTCCCTCGTTCCGAGTTTATTCAAGATCAAGCAAGCCAAAAGTCTTTGGAAAGAAAATAGTAAATTTTGGCAACTATCTTCAAAGCTATTTAATGTCTTGCGAAAAACGAATTAAAAGATCTGCTAACGTGGAGGTCTTAGTGTTATGATGTCCGCCTTTTAGCAATAAGTTCTTTAAATATTTAAGTAAAATAAAAAAATTACATATATATTTTTCTTTTTAAAACAATAAAAAGTAATAAATAGAAGAATATTAATTAAAAAAATAAAAAACAAATAAAACAAAATTAAAATAAAGAACAAATAAACACAAATATTTTTAAAAATTAAATTAAATTTTTTTTTTCTTAAATAAAAATTTTTTTCAATAAAAATTTATGAATAAAACAATATTAAATTGGAAAAAATAAACAAAACTAAAATAAAATAAAGAACAAATAATTTTTTTTTTTAAGAAATGAAATAGTTTTTTCTGTTTAAAAGCAATAAAATCTTAACATTTAATTATAGAAACCAAAAAATGTATTCAAAAATGAGAGAACTAGTACTTTAAGATTAAATTAAATAAATAAAAAACATTTATTTTTAAAACCAAATTTAAAAATTAAAATAAAATTTTATTAAAATTATTACAAAAATACATACTTATAATTTAAAAAATTAAAGTAAGATCCTAAAATTTAAATGAAGTAAAAGAAATATATTTTTTTTTATAGTAAAATATAAAAATTAAAGGAAATTAAACTGAAAAAAGAGAAAACGAATTTACTATAAAATATAGCAAAAAACATTCTAAAAATAAAATTAAATAAAAAAATTTATTTTAAAACAATAAAAGCTATAAGTTATGTTTTTCTCTAAAAATAAGTAAAATCTAAAAATTAAGAAAAAATTCAATTAAAAATACAAAAAATAACTTAAAACACATAAAATAATAACCTAAAAATCTAAATGAAATAAAACAAATACTTTTTTTTCTTTTAAAACAATAAAGTACAAAAATTAAAAGAAAACTAAACTAAAAAAACACCATTTAAAAAATAATAAAATAAGTTCCTACAAATTAAATTAAATTAAAAACATCTTCTTTTTGAAAAAATAACATCTAAAAATTTAAAGTGAATGTAATTAAATTAAATATATATTTTTCTTTTTGAAACAATAACATCTAAAAATTAAAAGAATATTTAATTAAAAACGAACAAAAAATGTTAATTAAAAAAATATAAAGAAAATTCCATTGCTAAGATGCATGCCTGTGCTTTGCTCAGTCGACCATTGCGACTATTGGAGCGACTCGAGCTAAGTTATATATACATAAGTGCCTTTTCTCAAAGTAACTTTTCACCACGAGTGGTGAATGAGAAATATTTTTTTCTAATTTTTTTGTGATAGAATAAAAAGATAAAAAGAATCTTTCCCACTACCTTGCCATCTGTCTTTCATTCGTCTTACGAAAGACTTCTTACTACCTTAGCCAGAATTTCCGTCTTAACACAAATTATTTTTATTTGCAATAGAAAGAAGCGACACCGCGACCTAGAACATATTTTGTATCCCTATCATGTTTCCTACCTCTGTCGGCTTGAAATCTGATCAGTCTCCCAGTTTAAAGCTAAAATTATCTGGGTAGATGGACTTTACTACACTGCGTTGTATCGAAACTTTACAGTAAGATTTTAAAGTTTAAAGCAAAATTTGAAGTCAATTTTATCTCGGAACTTTTTTTCTTAGATTGATTGATTAGATAAGGGACCGAAATCAAAGAGGCAGGAGTAGAGTACAATTCGTATAGGCAATATTTGTTACCAAATCAGTGACTATGTTTGGACTAGTTGTTGGGTGCCATAACGAAGGTTTTTTTTTCAATCTGTCGAAGTATAATTTGCCTCCTGTTCCAACAGGCGAACTCATTATTTAAACGCGAACCTACAATGTAGTTTAAATTAATTTTTCCTTGATGGCTCATAGACAGAAGTACATGTAAATGACACCTAATTTCGGGCGAAAAACATTCCCCATTTGATTAATTAAGTAATAATATTTAATCACCTAGATATGTACGAGCATGTAAAAAATTCGAACCACCTTAGGCCAGTATGCACACATATTATACCAGCCAAAATGTTCGCTTGTTGCATATCCGCCACGAACTCGGCAATTAAAAGATAACAAGATAACTATGTGTATAATTTGTACATAAAAGTGATGTTTCCCTGGGGAGTCAATTATGTATTACTCAACAACAAGCAACATTAGAATACTAGAGGGACTTTGTATTACTTTCCATTTCAAATGTTATAAAAGCGCCAAACAAACACCAACTGTTGACAAATTCCGGCAATCCAAAAAGCATGGAGGGCACTCAGTTACGAGGCTACGCTCTCGCATTACTCCTAATTTCAAATGCAGTCAGAGTTGTTGCCGCGCAATTCGAATTAGCGAACTACACTTTGATAAATTTTCTGCAGGATGTGCAACGCCAAGACATCTTTGAGCAGCTGGTATTCGCACACAATCGTAATGCAACTGAAATAGCGGCATTTGGTGCAGCCATGAAGGTCGGCGTTGAGAGCGAACTTCATGTCATAAAATATTCTCGAAATATGGATGAGTCACAATTCATACGAGAAGCAATGGTCGATCTGGGTATACCAGTTATACTCTTAAACGAGCTGAGCAAGGACTTTTTAAAGCAGCATTTCAGCGCTGCCTTAATGGTGGTGGTGTACATAGAAGAGTCGCTTGCAGCACAGACTGCTTTACTCAGAGCGCTGGTGGCTAGTTTGAAGCATCGGACACAATCGAAAGTACTATTTTTAATAAATACTGAGAGCGCAAAGGCAACCTGTGATGACGCGTTTCTGCGGCAGCTCTTTCAATTTTGTTGGCGGAGTAAAATGATAAATGTGGTGGCGCTATGCAGCGACTACAAGGTAGGACTCTTTGTGGCTGATAGGCGTATTTTGATTTTGCTCTCATTGTGGTGTCAAAAATTCTTTCAGGTAACCGCCCGCTTCTTCAGCTACAACCACTTTCCCGACTTTACGCTGGAGCACAAGTCTTTCAGGCCAGATCTTCTCCACCACGGTCCCATCTATCCACAACGTCTCGGCGATCTACAGGGCTACAAATTATCCTTTATAATGGGTGGCTCTGATCCACGCCTTATTGTCTACAATTATAATGGTGCCAGAATATTAGGCGGCTTTGCTGGCCACTTTCTCACTACCTTTGCAAGCAAGCGTAATTGCACGCTTTACGAACCGCTGCCCGCGCCCTCGAATACACGTTTTGCGCCTGCGCGAGATTTGATTGCCGCAGTGCGTAATGGCACCGTTGAAATTTCAATTGGGCTCACTTTTCCGCAGCGTCTTTCATTTGACGGCTTCACTTATCCCTACGAGCACGTCAATTGGTGCGTTTGGTCACCGATAGAGCCAGATATACCTAATTATGAATTCTTTTGGATCGTTTTCGAAGGTTTAACCTTCGTTCTGACGTTGGCTATAATCTTTGTTATTTCACTTGTACTAAGTTGTGCGCTCTGGCAACATGGCAAAAAACCGGACACACTGCGTTTCTTCATTCATGATGCATGTCTACGCGGTGTATTGGGTCAATCTTTTCGAGAGATACAGCGTGCTCCCTTCGTCGTACGCTTTATTTATCTACAAATCTATGCACTCGGCATTTTGCTTACCACTTCGTACAATGCATACTTTGCCACATATTGGACGAGTGCACCGAAGGAACCCACTTTTCGCACTTTCGATGATATTCTCGCCTCAAGCAAGAAAGTTTATATGTTTGCTCCAGAGTACAAGGAGTTATTCGATCGCACCGAGGATTTGCGAAAATATACGCCAATGGTTCAGGTAGAAAGCGATTATCATCGATATCTAAGCACTCGTGATGCATTCGATACGAAGTATATCTACATGATACCAACAACCAAGTGGAACATCTTTAGGGAACAACAAAAGGTTTTCACCACTCCGCTTTTCCGTATGCGCCACGATTTGTGTCTCTATCATAATATTCCGTTGGGATTTCCCATACACAGTAATTCGATATTTTCGCAGAAGCTAAATGAAATGATTTTAGAGACTACTGAGTTTGGTCTCGTCGAATATTGGTCACAGATTTCGTTTCTGGATTTGATCAGAGCAGGTCGTTTGAAATTTGTAGACTTGAGTCGGAAAAATGAATTCCGTCCAATGAAGGTAGAGGACTTAAAATTGGTCTGGATAGGTTTTGGCGTTGTGTGCGTGGCGACGGTTTTCGTCTTTCTCACAGAGAAATGCTGCGATTATCGATGCAAGCGTAAAACTACCGAGCGCTGATTGCGAAAAAGGGGGTACATTAAAAGTAAGAATTTTATGAAATACTCGTTAATGAGGTCGTTGCACTTACATATCAATTTGACGTTATACTTAATACAAGAAATGTATACCAGTATAACAACTACTTAGGATCACAGTATATGTAGCAGTCTAACAGTACAATAATATAAAAGTATAACATTGTGATATGTAAAAGTTACATTATATTGGTACACTAGTATTTAGGTATAGCAGTTTAGGTATATATAAAAATATAACAGTATAATTGTATATCAGTGTAACATAATGGAAGAATATAACAATATAATGGTATAACAGTGGAACAACAATATAACAGAATACAACAGCAATACGAGGAACAGCCTTGGTATCGTGCTAACCGGGCATCGAACTAGGGCTGCAACATCGACATCGATTTTTGCTTTCCGATATTTGGACAACATCGACTTATTGTCTCGATGTTTTTCATGGATGTTCATGGAGGAGAATCAGAGAGTCATCTGGAAAAATTGTGTGTTTAGCTATTTAATTCTGGCCTTGAAATCTGCGACTGGTTTCTATAAAATATGAAGGCTTCGCCGTGCGCTGAATGTGTAGATATTAAATAAGATACGATTAACAACTAAACAGGTTGCAACCCTACTAAAAAATAATATATAATTGCCCAACTGGAGGCCGCGCAAATCTAATGTTATTAATAATAATAATTTTTAAGTAGATGGCAACCCCACTCAAACAAAAAATAAAAACTTATTGCAGATGCAGAGACCATATCCTTTCACTTGGTACCTCAGTTTTTGGTCCTTCACCGTTTGTTGTCTTATAATTTTTAAAAAGTGGCAACCCTACTCAAAAAGTAATACATTATTGTATATCTAAAAGCCGAGCCCTTTTATTTCAAACCACATTTCTTGTAATCCAACGAACAGTGCGGATCTAATAGTTTTTTCGACAGGTGGCAACCGTATAGAAATTTAAAGTACTAAAAATAATATTCCTATCGATACTGATTATACTAAAAAAAATCTCGTATAAATCCGTTTAGAAGTTTTTGAGATTAGCGTGGTCAAAATATCTCTAGAAGATAATAATTTTTAAATAGGTAGCAATCCTATTCAAAAAATGAAAGCTTTTGTACATGCGAAGGCCAGGCACTTTCATTTGGTATCCCATTTTGTAATCCAACGAACGGCGAAAATCTTTTCACTTTTTATTAGGTGGCAACCCTACTCAGAAAAAGAATACATTATTGCACGTGTAGAGGCTAAGTCTTTTCGTTTGACAGTGACGGTGCAGAACTTATGCCTACGCTTATTATGATTGAATATAGTATTTTTTTAACAGGTGGCAACCCTATTAAAAAAAACATTAGTGCTTCTCTAGAGGCCAATCATTTTCATTTGACCCCTCATCTTTTATAATCCAAAGGACGGTGTGGATCTTATAGTTTTTTAGACAGGTGGCAATCCTATTAAAATTCTAAGTAAAAAGGTCACTCTCCTGTCAATACAGAGTATATTAGAGAAAATCTCGTCAAAATCCGTTCAATAGTTTTCGAGATTACTGCGTACAAAAAATCTCGACTTTCCTTTCCTTTCCTTAGTTTTAAGTTAACTTTCTGTTTTTTCATATATTATTATGGATATAGTGCTGACAAAAATTGCACGCAATAAATTTACACAAAAAAATATCGATGTTTTGAACATCTGAACTAAGTGCCAGAATGGTGTTTTCTTTTCTACCGAAAACTGGTATCTTTTGTATGTATTAAGTCTTCTTAGCAATGCCTACAGTAACGATTTAGTGATCGTAGCGACTATATATATGGTCGTGAATACTGCGAAATACGCAAAGCGAACAAGTAGAAAATGGCAGAATGTTTGACGAAAGATGTGGAATATTCGACATGAAAAAACGTCAAGTGGAAGAATGCTGCGAACAGCGAGTAAATGAGATAATGTTCGGTTATATAAAGACGTTGCTACAGTGCACACAAAGTTCAGTGGGGAATCAGCAAGCTTCAAGTTCAGTTGTGAAAGTTCAATTGTGTTAGCGAGTATTTGAAAGTGTTGAGCGTTTGTTTAAAAATCCAGCGAAACGAACCAAAGGGATTTTGGGAAATCCATCAAGTATTCATAATCGTAACAATACTGTACTATAAAAAAACCTTCCGTAAACTCACAAGGACAGTTGGGTCTAATAAGCCTCATTTTCGTTTACACCTAAATGCCTGTACTCATCCGTGGTTTAAACAATATTCGTTGTAGGCTGCGAACCTACATGAATACCCTGTAAATTAGTTCAGATGACTCCTGCCGCTACTACGATGAGGCGGCAGAAACGCCACAACAACTTCTTTTAGGATGCGACGCGGTCGGCAGAAGCAGATAGATACATCTGGTGAGCTGTGGTCAGGTACATTTACATTTGCAATTCCTCAATCCGCTTTTAATAAATTTTGGCTAATTTTTTCATAGATATCATTTTTTGAACTTTGAAATTTTTTTGCACATTAGATAAAGTTGTGTTAAAAATTTTTTAATTAATTCAAATTTATTTTTAATTTAGAGTTTAGCAAAATTTTTTTTGTCAAACATTAATATCTTAGGAAAAAACATCTTCTCGAAAATTTCTAGATCTTTTAATGTTAGTTAGAGGTACTGTTAAAAAAAAATTACCCAAAAATGTATATAGGTTTTTGTCTTTAAAATTTTTAAATTTCGAAATTCTTTAATTTATTATTAATCGATTTTTTTAGTGGAAATTCATCATTAAATCCACTTGTGGAAAAGCTTAACTTTTTTTTGATTTTCTTTATTACAAATAATAAAAATTTAATGTTTTACTTCGAAATTAACCATTATTTTAAAAAGTGTATAGTACAATGGAGCTTACGTAGATTTTTTGCAATACGGGCGCCATTTACCCTTTTTAGAAAAGATTTTCTGCAAAACTGCATATGTACAAAAATTTTTTCAAGTGCAAAATTTTTATTAAAATTTCCATGACGTGCAAAATTTTTATGAAAATTTCCATAAAGTTTGGAATTCCGATTTTTGGAGGTCATTGAATTCTTTGGTATTTGCTCTCTCAAGTTAGAAAGAAGGCTTAACACCTCCAGCCCCATTATTTTTTGTACCAGCCTACAATTCAAATTTCTTCAAAATTTTATAGATAATCTGAGGTAAACCGTAGATCAATATGCATCAATTGAGGGAAAATCGAATTTCGATTTTCCATTTTTTTTTAGTTGATCCACGGATCGAATCGGAACTAAAAAATGGACAAAAAATCGAATCGGAAGGGCTCGATTAATCGACCGTTGATTTGAGATCCCCATGGAACTTCAGGAAAATATTCGAATTTGTGAGCGTGATTAGCAAAAAATTCTTACTTCGTGTCCGCTTCTAGACCGCTTTTTTTCTTGTTGTATTTTTTTATCCATCGAATTCCCCCAATATTCAAAAAACGTTGCCATATTCCCCCACAATGTTCAAATTCCGTCATTGTACTCACTGTAAATTTATAGCGACTAATCGATTTTAATTTTGTTAACCTTTTCCATGGTTTTGAATTTTGCTAATTCGCTTGAAGCAGCAAAAATATTTCGTACATAATTGACACTCTGACGTATTGGTATGCCCGCCAAGTCTGTCACAAATTTTGCTATAGTAAAGAAAATTAGCGCAACCACCTATAACACAATTACTAAATGCTAATCTAAATTACGCAATTATCTTGCAATTTAAATGAACTGCGAAGCGGAAATCTTTTCCCATTTGGATAGTTAAAAGACCATAAGTACATACATACATACATATGTGCGCAGTTACGTACATATGTTGGCGGGCATAGCTTCTGTTCCAAAAGTACCCAGAAGTTCTAATTTCAACAAATCATATACAAATTTGCAAGGTTCGAGAAAATAACCCTGACCCCTGAATTAATGACACTGTTGAGCTTAAGTTCAAATAAATTTCAGTCTGAGTTTAGTTTTTATGTTTGACACCCATTGGTAAACGCAATTTATTCCGCCAAAGCGAGCGATAGATGCGGAGTAGAAAATATCTAATCGGACTGAAATACTAAATGTTCTTTTTAAAATAAGACACTCCTAATCTCGAACGCGACTACTTAACTGAAAAACTGTCATAAAGAACTCTGTTTTCTTATTGGCCGCTCTACTTGAGATCCATCACGAAAAACGAATTCAACTGAAAAGAAAAGTATAGCCAAGGCGAGTTCATATAAAGTGGTATCGATTCAACAAATAAGTACAACAATTACTTGTATTTTGTTTCTTCAGTAAAAAATTTCAGCTATCCTTCCCCGAATGAAAAATGGCGACAGAAAAAAACAAACACTCCTACGTTTTCACTCAATCACTAGCGAAAAACAAAATTTTGACAAATAAACGCTATTCACAGCTGATGAAACAACACCATCTTATATAAATTCGGCTTGAGTGCACCCTTCTTTCGATTACCATGCACCTAGAATTTGCGGTTCCTTAAGGTGGAAGGAGCCTCTGCCTGGCTGTTTGATGTCCCCGCTTAGACTAAGGCTGTCAGAGAAATCGTTTTGGCTTGCTCCCTCTACTAAAGCTTAAATTTAAAGGAACGCAATTTCGGTGTTAGATTTGTAATTCGAGAGAAACTTCGGTGCTAAGTACTGTCGATTATTCCGTTGGACGAGTGCGTCACAATCCGCATCGAAACGTTATTCTGCAATATCAAACTATCTTGCGCTCAAAAAAGATAAGGTGTCCGAAATACCTCCTTTATGAGCGCATCAAACACAATTATAATCGCTGCCCCAGCCAAACAATTGAAGTCGGACTTGGCGATTTTAATGGGCGCTTTGGTCCCACTGTTTACAAAGCGAAAGGCAAGAATCCAAATCTATTTTGCTGTGGTAAACGAAACGCACGCTTCCAAGTGTTTTGGACGTGTGTACGATCCGAGGATCAAATATCGCCCTGGGTGACTATTTTCTTGTAC